TGCTCAGCTGAACGTGTCCCCATCCCCCCTTACCATGTTGGAAAAGAATGAAACAAAAGGCAAAATTCAGAAACTGCCACAGAATCAGAATCCTCCTCCTCCAAATGATTTCATTAACCAGCACTTTATCAGAGTCTGGACTCCTTACAAAGATGTTACAGCCTTGGAAATACTAAAATAACTCCAGCTGTTTGATTTCTAGGAGTGGTTGGAAAACTCATTCTGGCTTGGTTGAGCAAAGCACTCCCCTACCTTCTCAGCTTGAGGTGTGCTTAAAGGACTGCGCCTGCATTAAAGCACATACCTAAAATAACACATTTGAATAACTAATTTAGTTATTGCTAAATTGCTAATTTAGGGCTTTAAAGTTGAACATCTCCTTTTATAAATGCAAGAAGGAGATATGATTCTGATTTCCAGGGGCATCACTAAGTGCAACTGCAGTCAGATGTTTATATACAGTGAATGCATGTGCAACAGATAACCTAAAACTTCATTGAATCAAACAACACCATGAGTTATAGTCTCAGTATTGATGCAGTTAAAAAAAAAAAACAAAAAACAACACAAAACATGCTCCATTTCTGTCTTTGTTCCCCTGTGTCTCCCTGGTAATAACAGAGGGCAGTGAAGGAAAAACAGCTAATATCCACACCAGTTTGCCAAGATTTCCTTTCCCTCAGAGTAACAGGGCAAGCTCCTGATGGTATTTTGCGTTAGTAATTCTGCCCCTGTGGGGGCTGAAATAAATTTTCATCTTGACTCACAGGGATGGAGATCAAGGCCCTTGATCTTTGCCCAGGAGTGTGGAGTGATACCTGCAGCAGTGGGAACGCACCATGCATGCACCAGTACTCTGTGAAATGAATTAAGAAAGACATCCTTGCATCAAACCAAGTGTTTTTCTAGCCCAATAGCCTGTCTCTGACAGTGGTTAGAGCAAGTATTTACTAGGAACAGAAACAGGGTGTGTACAGAGAAATCTTTCCCTGATACGCTCTCTTAGCTCTTGCCTATCAGGTTCTCACTGGGTCTCCGTTCTCATGATGCCCAGGTTCCTCTGTGCCATTCCCTTTCCCTGCTGCAGCTGGTGTCAATCTGCAAGGTCCTGAGGGCAGAGAGCAGCACAGTTGTACTGAGGGGTCTGACAAGCTCCTGATAAGCAGTTGTCATAAGAGGGCTGTTCCAAAAGTAAGGCCTTCTATTTTATAATGTTGGCACAAAACATCAGAGGCAGATGTTGGTAGGATGGCAGTAGGGGCTGAACCTTCCCACCAATATCCCATTACGTGTTGTTGCCGTGTGACAGATGGCAGCAGAGCAGCAGCCTGACAGAATGTCTGACATGGAAGTGCTGATGAAGCAAAGGTATGCCACTGAATTCCTCCACGTGGAAAAAATTGCCCCCACTGACATTCACTGACGCTTGCTGAACGTTGATGGAGATCAAACAGAGGATGTGAGCACAGTGAGGCAGTGGGTGGTACTTTTCAGCAGTGGCAACAGTGGGTCACCTCTGCTAGTGCAGACTGTTATGAGCCCAGCATGCAGGCTCTTGTTCATCACTGGTGAAAATGCATAGCTAATGGAGGTGAGTGTGTTGAAAAACACTGTACTGTGGCTGTGAATTTTCTCTATCAAATAGTGTTATTGTGTTCTTTGTATCTGATGTATTTTCCAAGAAAATAAATAGGAGGTATTACTTTCAGAGCAACCTATGTAATTTCTGGTCATACTATTTATTCTATGATACCAAAGTATATGCAGATGGCTAAAGCTCACCCATATTCTACTAAGCAATTTCCTTGAGATGGTTGACAACCAGCATGTAAATGACAAAGTTACTTTGTTGTGTAGGAAAAGCATGTGGGTACTTAAGATATTGATGAACTGGGCTATAAGCGGATTATCACAACGCTATGAGTAGAGACTAATTTCCCAGTAGAAAACGCCTTTTGAAACACAAGACAAAATGTCAATCCATTTGCTAGTCACACATAATTTAAACCTTCCTCTTACATTGCTCCCTGCTATTGCCGCTCAGCTTTCAAAAGATGCAGAACTGAGAGGGACGTCCAGCATTTAAACACCTCAAAACTTTCAGAAAATCTGTATCTGAAGACTTGGGAACAGCACAGTTTGGGGATTCAATGGAAAGCTCAGAGGTTTCTACAGTTCCACAGCCTTGAGTCTAAACACACAAATAGATGTTCCTAGGAGACAGCTGCTTCAGGGCAGCAGGATTTCTCATGTGGACTGATGGAGAACCCAGGACTTCTGGCCACACCTGGAGGACCTCTTCCAGCTCCTTGCTTTAGCCATGTGCAAAATTCCCTTTGAGTTTTGGCTGACAAAGTGTGAAATAAATCATTACTAGAGAGACTCCATTAATTTCAGTGGGAACACTGGCTCAAAGGAAAGAAAAAAGAAGGAAGGAAGCAGTGGAGAAGCTCTGGTGCATATTGTGTATGTACAGAGGTCTTTCTAAAAGACATCTTGATAAAGCTTAGTGGACTGTTTAAAACTGACTCCCATCTGGGCAAATCTGCTCTCTGCAAGCAGACTGCACCAGGCATGAAGCCAGCAGCCCCAGCTGTGCATGGCAGTTTGGCCCCAGTCCATGCCATGCCATCCGTGAGACCGTGCACTTACTGCCCACGCCATGACATTGGTCAAGGAACTGCCAATTCCCATGGAAATGGGTCCACAAGGTCTCTCAAAGGCACAAAGCCTGTGCGTTCATTTAGCCTAGCTCTACCTGGCACCTTGCTTTTCCTAAAAACTGTTGCAGAATAGAAAGGAACCATTTGTCTCTCCAAGTCACCATTTTCCTTTAATCTCCATCCAGCGAGGCAGCATCACCCACATGCTTCAGTGATGACATACTGTCCTTGAAATGTGAAAGCTTGGACCCACCTCTGCCTGCTGGAATTCAAGCTCAGCCTTTCTCGCCTTGCCCAAGGCTGGCAGCCACCAGTCCCAGTAAAACCATGCTGGTGGGGACAGAAAAAGCTAAGTTACTTAACTTATTTAACTTAATGGGGGGTATTTCTACCCATGCTTTGGACAAGATTTGAGGCCCATTTCAGGAAATTGCATTGGCACATGACAAATCCAATTGAAGATGATGACATATAATCACAGCCTTAATTCTGGTCTCACGCTAACACAAGTACCCACATAGGAAGCTAAGAGTAATACCCCCATTAAGTCCAACTTTTCAGACTTTCTGGCTGATCAGGTCCTTATGTCGCTAGGATCATTTCAATGCTGTCATGTCTGGAACAATACACAAGTTGCCTGTCTAGACACAGATTTATTTCTGAAATAAGAATAAATAAACAAATAAGTAAATAGAGTAAAAGGAAAAATGACATGCTTTTAAGTCATTTTCAAATGCCACTCCTTCAAACAATGCAATTTCACAGCCGATTTCAGGTCCTGGTTTTGGTTTTGCCAATAGAAAAAAAAAAAAAAAAAAAGAGAGAGAAAGAGAGAGAGAAAATGAAAAAATGTATGATTTTGAAAGGACCCCACATAAAAGGGTCCTGTTGAGGCAGAAGGGGGACTGCCATGCCTCAGCGCCAGCCCGAAGGATCGGTCCCGCGAGCGGAGCAGGTGGTGTGTGGGTCACCAGCGCCTGTGTGACAAACTGTGATAATTGGATTGTTTGGGGGCTGGGGGAGGGAAGCAACCACTGTGTACAAACCTCAGAAGGGAATTAAAAGCCAGCTCGCATCCCAGCTAATGGCGCTCTATAAAAATGCAAAGTGGCTAATGATAAGCAAAGGAAGTTCCATTAAGCCCCATGCCTGATGCAGAAGGGTATCATTGACCCTGCAAAGGGTATTTGCTGGGAATGGACAAGCAGCAGAAACAGGTGCAGAAATAAAAGCAAACCAACGGTTCGTTTTAAACTCCCCAATCTGCAATGTTAATGAACACGAGAGCCAGGGAGAGCAGAAGAGATTCAAGTGGACGGGGCACCATTTTCCATACCCATTAAGCTCATGCGTATGGGGAAACCTGAGGAAAATGAGCCCTGCGCAGAGGTATGCTGCACAGAAAGCTGCATGAGTGGGGTGGGATGGAGGAAAGCAATGGAGAGTGGAAGAAGCTCCCCTCTGCCCCCCGCACCTGGGATGTGGTCAGGGGGGAAAGGGAACCTCGTCAGGCCGATAATGAGCCGTCCTCATTATGAGATTAGATGCCAGAGCGAACAACACCCTCTTAATAATGCACACATCACTATGACAACCACAGAGTTTGATACCCGAGGATAACTTTATTGTGCTTGTGAAATTTCCTTATTTTAAAAGCACTATTTATAGTTATCAGACACCGACTCGCCATATCTGCCCTCCTCCTCCTCTCTTCGCCTTCCTCGTTTCCCTGGCAGGATCGGCCAAAGTGTTAATGTGCCTCTCCTCAGGTTAAGGAACTGCTGTCAAGTATCAGCACCACAGCCTGCTGACATAATTATCCTGCTATCCCATGCATAATTAGTAAAGCTAAGCCCAAACTATATTAATACCAGGATTAATTACGGCAGAAACATAAACAAGGATATTAATGCTACGAAAGTATCGGTACAGATATTCCACAGCCCATATGCTTGTCTGTAGGACCACTAGGGATTGTGTTGAATTGGGAGCTGTGCAGTGCCCTGACTGTAATGAGAAATGAGAAAACTGCTGAAAAATTGATGCCGCCTGCAGATTGCACAATCCGCTGAACAGCAGGGGGTCGGCTTCTTACATCTCCCACTCTCGGTACAATATGCTAATTTCTGCATGCATACGAGTGTAAAAGGGAAGAAGAAAAGATTTCACAAAAGGAAAAAAATGCAAATGACAACCACAAAGATCACTGCAGAGAAATCCATGAGCTTTATATGGATTAACTGTGTTGGAGCTAGTGCTCGCCTGAGTTTAACCCTTTCTGTCCTGGAGCCCTTGACAGGTCCCTTTTGTGGTGCAGAGGAATACTTATGGTTCCTTTGTGAGAAGGAGGGAGGGAGGAAAGGGCAGTGGGGAACCAAAAGGATGGAAAGGATCTTTTCTGCTCTTTCCATGACTGCACTCCTCTTGCTCTAGCGTCGGCAAGGAGGTACGGGTCTGGAAAGGAAAAAGCAGGTCTGGGAGGGGGTTTTAGAAAAGGATGCTGACCAAATGTTGGTACAGTTTGAAAGAAGACCACTTACAGCTTAGCTCAGTGCAGCTTTAACTGGGGAGTCTGGTAACAGACCCTCCTCTGACTCCCTTTGCCTCTTAGAGAATGCTGGGAGGGTCTCCCCGATAACATGTCACCAAATCCTCATCAAGAAGATAACCGCCCTATGATTGTGTTCTGCTCCCAGTCCACAGCCTCTCCCTCCTGGGCTAAGGCAGCAGATGTGCTCACCTGATTGCAAGCCCATCTCCTCTCTGAAGCCAGCTGATGTGCTGCTCCCCTGGGCTCCCCAGCACGCCAGGAACGTGCAGCATGCCTGCAGACAGGAGGACTCCAGCAGCGCCCACACAATCCCCCTGCCATTTGCCTTGCTCCCCTAACTCTGCCTTCAGCCTGTCCTTTTCTGCTGTGGGAGAGAAACTACACAGAAAGCTCCCAGATCAGAGGTGGAGGGGTGGATGTCCATACAACCCTGCTCTTCCTTCAGCTGCTGATGGTAACACACCCAATAGTTTAAGTGCCCCTTGCAGCAGAACAGGATGGCAAAGAGCATCTCCTCTCCAGCCCACAGGAGGGAAATACCTATGTTCCTGTAATAAGACAAATCAAGCCTTAATTCTTCTCCAATAATTAAAGAGATTAGTTGCTCTCTCTTTAGTAGCAGCAGGAGCAGCAGCAGGTGCTGTTATGCATGGTCCACTGTGTGCATAATGTGGCTTCTGCACGCAGTTGCTGTGTGAATGGAATCCTTAGGAAATATCTGTCGCTGGGCCTATGTCATACAATAAGTGCCTAGCAAAAAGGATTCGTTTGCTTGTTTGTTTGTTTTAAATGGAAATAATTTAGCACTCCCAGAAAAAAAATAGAACTACTCTGGCAATGCAGAGCACAAAGACCAAAATGCATGAAACTGAGACAACAACCACTGACCTCCCTGCAGGTTTCAGAGCCCATGTGAATCTTCAGCCCGTGTTTAAGAAATATTTTTCCCTTTGGTAGATGTCCAGTCACCTTCTGAGCGTCCTCCCGACCACCAGCTTCCTCCCTCACCCTCCTCCTCCATACCTACGTGGGCCAGCATTCTGCTATATTTCATTTTACCTCTGTGCTTACATTCATTGCTGATTTTAAAGGTGTTTTTGTTGTGTTCTGCTTTGTTTTCATTATTGTGGCTTACTTATTTGATTTTTAACCATGTATACACTTGTAAATGGATGCTTGTATGCTTGTAAATTCCCTTCTTCCCCTACTGAGTATTATTCCCACCAAATGACACCACGCTTCCTCCCTGCTCAGATGCCAGAATCTGTAAAAGCAGTGAATCCTCAGCTAGGAGATCTTCACGGCAGGCTCTTGAATGGCTGCATAATGCCTCATAGATCCCAATTCAGAGCATCACCTAACAGGACAGAACAGCTCCAACCCTGTGATCATCCTAGCCAAAGCCTACTGACTACCCAGCAACAGCAGTAACTGCAGTCATGGACAGAGAGCAGTTGGCAAACAAGGAAGAACATGTGTTTCTTGTTTCCTCTCAAATCCTTCTGCTTGCAGGTGAAGAGAGGCGTTTGTGCAAGGAACAGGCGTTTGCTTAATTGTGTGAGAAAAGTCCCTTCAGATCTATGGTCAGTACTCAATACTCAAATACTCAATAAATAAATAAATGAAGTATGACTTCTTGTCAATCAGACTCATTATTTGGAATAGCTATGAACATTTGAAAATAGCCTTTTTATTGTATTTGATCATCTCTATCTTTGCAATCACCACCCAGAAGTTACACAGACATTCCAGAATGGCATTAAATTTTCTTCTTTTTCTATTGTTCTGTTTGCACCAGCCTGACAAGGTGATGCAAATGTTGTGCTTTAACCTTGCTGCAGTTACAGGTGGTTGAGGGAAGGGGGAATCATTGTGTATATAACAGAAAGCCTGTCCCTCTAAATGACAGAGTAGCATAGGAAGACACCGTTAAAAATATTGTAGGAGGAAAAGGCCATAACTCGAGCAAAAGAGTATCTTGGTGGTGGTAATTTAGCACTGCTACACTTTAGGGATAGGCTGCTCTTACAAAGCTGTTAGCCAGAGCCAGTGCCTGGAGAAAAAGAGGAGGGGGGGGGAGAAAAATCACTAAACCCAGTGAGGTAAGTGGGTGCCCTCAGATCAGGTGTCCTTACAGCAATGGGGGCACGTGCCTACACAGCTCAGGTCCCCTACAGTACAGCAGTGCTGGTGCCAAACCCACTGCCATCTGCTGAGCCAGCCCATCAGTCACCTTTTGGCTTTATAAGGAGGGCCTCTCCAATGCAGAAGCACAGCTGGTGCTGCTGCATTTTGTTTGATCTAGAAACAACATCTAGCACCCCTAGCTTGCACTGGCTCAGCAGTTGAATTTTGACTCCCAATGGAATTCAACACTATGATGTCAAAATTCACCTTAAATGGTTTTAAACTCTCTTCTCTCTGTTTTTGTTTGTTTTGCATCTCCACATCAGTTCTAGTAAAACTGTTTGCACTGTCAAAGCACCCCTGCCTACTTTTGCTTATTAAACCTGGATTGGCTTGTTGTTACAGCAAGAGCACAGTGACACAAGCAGGCAGCCCTGCTGGAGGAGCAGTGCAGAGGCAGCACAGACCTGAAACCAGGACACTGCTGAGGAGAAAGCATGTCCTCAGAGCCCTCTAGAAAATGGTGTTTCCACTGAGGAAATTAGCATTGTGAAAGTTACATCAGAGCAGGGCAGGATGTATTTTCATCATGCACAATTTCCACGTCTCTCTGAATTTGTGCTGAGCTCAGGACTGGGTGATTTTGCACAACCAACAACCAGTCCCCACAATCCAAGTGCCAGCATGGTTCATGGTGCAGGCAACAGCCCCGTGCTGCCATGGGCCCTGACAGTCACTTCAAGGAAGGAAGAACAGGGAAGGACAGCATGGTCTTCTCACAGCAGTAGCAGCACGCAGACCACACCACGTGGCAAGGCAGGTACCCTGCCGAGGCCACACTGCACAGGGCCTTGGTGGCTGCTGTCACACACACGGCCCTCACTGTTTTGCCCTGGTGGGGTGGCATGGCACAGCACAGGACCTTGCAGGTGTGCACAATACATGCCTGCTGTCAGCTGCTTGCTGCAGTGCTTTGAGATCCTGGTGGTTTTTCTTCTGGATGAAAATGGCCATGTGCCTCCAGTGCTAACTACTGTGTGTGCAGCTCCCCAAGTGGGACTGTCACAGTAGGCAAGTGTCCCTCTCATGCAACCAAAGTAATTAAGCATGGCCTAGCAGGCCTGTGACCCCCCTCCCGTTTCTCTTCTTGCTCCACTTGCTGGTGTTTACCCAAGACAACAGTGACTGATGGCTCCAAGAGGGCTGTTGCTGCTCTCCTGCCATGACACAGCCATTGATCCAGCAGCATCTGCCAACTCATCAGCGCTTACTCTAATTCCCTGCCTCCAGGTTTCTTCCCTTTCCCCCCAGGCAATAATTGTCGCACAGGAGAGCTCCCTTTGACCAGTGTGATGAGATCTGCCAATTACCACCCTGTCAGCCCTCTGCCTGGGAAGTGCTGGTGACCACACACTGCACACACGGACCTTCACTACAAATTTTTAGCTTGCACCTGATGGCTGGTAGGGCCCAGTTAAGTGGCTGTTCCTCCACCTCGGGACCAGCATCAGCAATTGGCCTCTGTGAGAAGTCAGGGTATCGCCTGAAAAAGGGGAACATGTTGTGTGTTTCTCATTAGTCTGCCTATCTCCTTCCATGCAGTCTCCAGCAAGGAGGCACTGGGCAAAGCTGCCACCTCTCTCTGCAAGAGGTGACAAGCTTGTCCCCTTATGCAAAGCAATCGCTCAGGCTGAGGGTAGGAAGGAGCCTCTCTGCTAAGCCCAGTAACAAAACAATCTAAAAAACTGATGGGTTTGGCTTCTTCTTTAGAAATGCCTCTCACCAAGTTGTGCAAGCCTGGAAGAAGGCAGAGGTGAGGGATGAACTCAGGATTTACAATCATGCTGCCTCCGTTCTGGTGTGTTACACACACCGCCAGCTCTCAGCACTATCCTGGCTGCAGGCAACAGCATGAGGCTGATGCGGGGTGAAAGTTTCAAGGAAACTGAGTGTAAATGAATTTCCTTGTGCCAAAGCCATCTAACAGAGATGCACAAGTCATCAGAGCTGGAAGAACAATATGCTGCCTTTTGTGCAGAGGCTTCATTAGAAATGAAGCCTTAGATTTTCAAGCTATATGAACAGTAAGAAACACTCAGTAGGAGTTAGCTGGCTCCAGAAAGCTCAATGAAGCTCCACAAGAACTATTACTGTGCTCCTGTGCGAGTGGAGAAACCAGCAACACTTGCAGGGATGCTATTCTGGCAGAGCTGAGGCAGTCCATTTTCAGGGGCATCCAAGAGTATCTGGAAAATATTTTACCACAGTTTTAAATTCACTGCAGGATCAGACCAACCAGAAACCTCATAACACTTCCTGCTTTCCTTTTTTTTTTTCCTCTTACTTTTTTTATTGCTTGGCTTCTACTTGCAGACAGAGGTGTGCACACAAAGTGAAATGTCACTTCCTTCAAATTACATCTGTGCATAAGTGACTGCTCCAGCAGACATCTTGCTGGCATGTCCTAGGATAAAGGCTCACTGGCAGACCTGTCCCTTACCATTGTAGAGTGCCAGCCTACCCAGCCTGAGTTCACATGCTGCCACACACTAGAAATCTCCATATCTGTCCTGGAAACACTTATCAAACTCTTTTGGGCCAGGTCATTCTTCTCTGCAGTCTGCACTCATCCATATGAAATGCTGAAAACATCTGACCTTTCCAACCACAGGCATTCAAACATCATGAACTAGACACTTGACAGCCTCAAGTCATGCTGGGATTTGGGAGGAACACTGAAACACCAGTTTGCTGCCCTTCTTTCCCAGAGGGGAGAAGAATCAGAGTTCTTGATGCAGTCTTCTTTTCACCTCACTCCAGCCCCATAGCACAGGGAGGAGGAGGCAAGGGACATTTAGCCTTGCCAGAAGCATTAAAAGGAAGCCTCAGCCATGCTGTTGCATCTCAGGCTGCTCTTCAGGTGTAACATAGAGGTCATTTATCGCAGATGGGAGGGCTCCTAACCAGAACCACTCTCTGGTAAGCAGGCTGACAGCAACACTTCTTCCTCACCCCAAATTAATACTGCTATAGAGGTATGGAGATAAGGACAGCGTAAAATCAATGAATATTAAGATGTTATAATTACAAAATAAACAAGAGAGTTAGGGAAAGCAGATTACAGCAACAAAAAGAGAATAGATAGAAAGCTTACCCAAATCCTGGGTTTACTTACAAAACTCCAGCAGAGCAGATCTCCAGAAAAGATCCTTCCCCACTGGCAGTCAGCCCTTAAATGGGTCTAGGAGAGGTGCAGCCAGGCTCCACCCCTTCCATCACACAGCTGAATTGCCTTCACCTGTGCTCATGGCTGACTCAGTGCTCATCTCAGGTGGTCAATCAGAGGCTCAGGTGTGATTCAGCAGTTCCCAGCAGTACCATACAGATGGTGACACAATCTTCCACACACATAAGAAGAAGGAGAAGAAAAGACCTTTTAAAGAAGCCTGGGCCTATTTTTCTAAATATTTTCTCTTCCAATTACCACCCTTTTGCAATCTAACCACTCAAGTGGTAAATGTGCTTATTAGCATTACTTGTACGAGCACCTGGTTGATTTCTGAGTGGAAGCAGGAGTTCGGTTTGAAATTCAATATTGAAAACTGAAAAGGAAATTTTTTGCTGTTGGTCAGTGTAGAGAAGCTTAAAGAAAATTGGCTGAGGTACGACATCTCAGATATATGTTCCCATGCACAAATAGATAAATTTGTTCTAATTAGAGTCAGGATTTCCAGGTATGCAGTCCCGGGGGAATGTGCAACCAAGAAGCTGTTCTCAAGGCAAAGGCATCTTAAGTACCTAAGGCCAAGGACTGAGGTGATCAAAGGTGAAAGCCAGATTAAGTGCAATTTAGCACCTGCTTTGGCAGATTATCACGTGGATATCTGATCTCCTCACAGGGTATAAATATGTGCGTGTGTGCATATTAAATACAGACATAATTCTAGGAATAAATTCACTTTAATATTGGAAAGCCTGTCCCTAAAGGAAAATTATACTGCCATCAATCAAAGAGTGATTGTGAACTCATACAGCTATTCTGGCAATGTCCTCTTGCTGATTCTTGCTCTGGAATTGGAGTGGTACCCCGGGGCAGCTGGACTTCTCACTGCAGTCAGCTCCTAGCTCTCTTCCTCAGCTGTAAAATACAGCTTAAGTGACCTAACCACATGCACAAAACATCTACTTATTTACACTGTCTGTTGCACTTCCTCCACTGTGTGGAGTTAGTTAAGGTTGAACTGGAAAGCTGACCACAGTTATCTAATGGAGATGGTTCAGTAAGCACATATCCCACCAGCAGTCACAAACCTATTTTCACCTGGGAGGTGAATGTGCTCAGTGAGCGGGTCTAAAAACTGTCTTGACATTTTCATTATGTTTAATAAAGGATGGAGGCTGAAGAGAGAGGCCAAAAAGGCTGAGGAGGTGGAAGCCAGGTAAACGCTGCTTCCAACTGTGTGTAAAATGGTTGGTGACTTCAGTGTCACAGCAGTTTGACACTGTGCTGGCAACATTTGCTCTCCTGTGTGCCAGTTTCTCACAGGGCAAAGGAGAACTTTCCTTGACTTGCCAAGTCTCCGATGAGCAGATAGTATTGAAGAGTCCAGTACTAGCAGGGTCGGTTTGTTCTCAGCTGTATCAGAGATATTGTATTCAGTTTTAAGTGTATAATGACATCTACTTGGACTCAGATCCTCCTGAGGCTCTTACTCTTGTGTATTACTTACAACACACTTCTCTTCTAGGGGCAAATGTCTAAAGATTCTGTAGCTTGCTTCTTCTATAGAGAAACAGCTCTAACATATAGAATAATGTCAGTGAAATGAAGGATGGAAATAGAGGAGGGAGGGTTAGAAAAAGAGCGCTAAGAAAATATCAAACTTAGCTAACAACAAAACAAAGTGTCCAGATGATTTACGGTCTCTTCTTTTCTGCACCTTTCTAGTGCCTTTTGCCAGCAGTTAAATATCAAGAGAGGAAATGGACCAAAACCTGTATATGAACAGCACCTACCTACTCCTCTACTGAACTTCTAGAAGTTTGGCTCCAAACTTTGGAGCTTGTTCCTATTATTAAACCAAAAATCCTAGCATTCGGCACTGATGGCATTTCTCAGCAAATCCATCCGATGCTGGGCTATATCTGCAGAGGCTGAGCTCATCAGATGTTGCACTAGTTTGATGTCCATGCACATTTTAGTCAACTTGAAGGCATACCTAAGAAAACATAAGGACTGTTGGGACATCTTTTGTAGCTCAGTAGTATGTATCACCCCCTACAAGTCTCATTCCAAGGCTGGGTCCCAAATCACTAACTTCAACTGAAGAAAAAGAAGGGGGAAACATTTCAGCACATAATGCATGTAGAAATTAAATTCTAAATCAGCATATGTTCCACTTAATGCTGCTACAAGATGACAAAAAGATGTGGTTGGGTCTGTTCCCACATTTGTTCACTGTGTGCTCCAGGGAATGGTCAACCTGCTGCCTGGCCATCAGCACACCTATGGCACTCTACTTAGCTCCCCTCAGGCACTTACTTCCCTCTCAATTTCGTCAGCATAATTGCACATGAAGGGGTTTCTTCAACCCAACTGTTGAAGTGATGAGAGCTACAAAAATAAACGTAATGCGTGAAGTGTTGAGGCTGACCCAGATTACTGTGACAGAATTGGGTTAGGGAGCACCTCCAACCTATGGCTGTGCTGGCAGATCCGAAGCAGGGTAACGTTTACCAGAGTGGACAAGGACAGTTGGGGCACTGGGGTGCTCTGAAACTGGGTTCATCTGGGGCCAGAAGAGCAGATTAACCCTTGCTTGAAACAGCACCTGCTGTGGAGAGAGCTTTTCATTGCTTCATTGTGTGAACCCTTCAGGAGGCTTTTTAGGGAAAACAGTGGAGCTAAAGGAAGAAATGAAGAAATGAGGGACAGAGTGAGAAGCTGGTAACAGAGGTGAGGGTTGTCCTTGCTTCAGGGTCTAAGCAAAAGACACTTTTGAGCTGCATACAAGTAAAAGAAAAGCCCTCTTCTTTTGCCAAAGGGGATTTTGTTTTTTTCAAAGCAACAGAAGCTCCAAGCTAGCAATGAACTCTGCCAACTTGCTGAACACCTCTGAACTGAAGTCCATCCCTCACTCAGCATCACCATTTCCCCCATTGCTAGCTCTTGCCATAGCAGCCACTAGAGTCCTTGAATGTCATATCCCATCACGTCCCTGCAGTCTGACGCTGGTAACGTGATGAAAAAGATTATTTCAAGGATAAGGAAGATTGTTAGAAAGAAAATGAAGCTCTCGTTTCTTGGAAGCCTTCGTCTATGGCAGCTTGTTAATCGAATGGTGTCAGAAGTGAACATTTTTTCCAAAAGAAATGGGGCAACAGAGCCTCTGCATTTCTCATTTGGGATGGGGCTCTGTGAAGTATAGGAATACTGAAAGTGGAAAGCAGCCGTCTATTTGCCAAGGTAGAACCGTATGTCTTTGTGGCAAGAGGATGTATGTCTGGTCTCTCCTTGAAGACCAAGCTCAGGAGAGGAAGGGAAGATGTATAAGAAAAGGCAGAAAGGCCAGCTTCGTTACTTGGAACTATTTGGAGAATTCCTGGCAGCGTGCTGCTGGTGACGGAGGTGTCGTGCCTAAAGTCACCACAGGCTGGCCATGTGGCCAGAGAAAGGCCTTCCTCAGCACTGGAACAGAACTAAGACATGACATTAAGTGGAAGTTATTTGTACGTGGTAAACAAGTGGCATTAGTTTAACAAAACCCTGCAATTATGCTGCATATTCTGGATATGATCTCTTTGCTGTTCTTCAAGAATAACATGTTCGTACGGTGATACAAAACCCTACTGTCTGGGGGTGCCGGTTTTGTAATCACCCCTGGACAAGCTGGACTTTGGGTCATACTTCAACAGGCCCACTACCCTGTAACTGATTAAAAGCCCCTCTTATTCTTTGTAGCACTACCTGAGGTCTTGGCTTTACAACATGATTTGGGTAATGAGAGCAAGGTGATCAGGATTATTAATAGACATCACATCTAGCTGGAAAATTGGAAGCTGAGAGTAAACGTGAACACCTCCTTTAAGTGAGTTTTCTCTGTGAGCTGGCGAAAGGATTGAAGTGCGAGGCAGAATCATTCTCATTTCCAGTAATATTTATTGATTTACTTCACATCATGCAGTTCAATAACTCATCCTCCAAACAGATGAAACTTCAGCTCCATATAAATAGGTATTAATCTCAAGTAAATTACCAACGAGTCTTAATTAAGCAATAAGACAGAACAGCCCATATAGTCGGGTTGATTAATGGCACACCTTGGACGTGCACCAAGGCACAGGGCAAAGCAAAGTGCTTTCAGTCTGCTCATGGCCTGAAATTCATCAACAGAACACAACTCCAAATCGCCTCAGGGCGTAGACACAGTCAAGAGCTTGGCTCTTGCTCCAGCCGTGACCACAACTTTAAACTGCCTGTTTCAAAGGAAATAGGGCAGAAACAGAGTCCTTCCAGTTCTTACAAAGCAGCAGGCCATGTGATTGCATTGCTGTTTGCATCTCTCTTAAGCATCCGGATAAAATACGCCAGTAAGAGCAGCAGAAGTATGGGAGGTGTAGAAGGTATGAAACTCAACAAGATGAGAGGTGCCTTTGCAAATGTCCGGAACACATCATGTAAGCCAAAAATATGTCTGCGCATTCTTCTCTGCGTCCTCTTCTCTGAAGAGGATTTCGCTCTGATTTTGTTTATGGCGCTGTTTATTAGGAGGGATGTCCTGGAGGTCAACAGAACCAAAAGAGTGGGAAATCAATGCAAGGGAGGGAAGAGAGGGAAAATTTCTCAGTATGATTCTCGCCTTGCACACCGACATCAAAGCCTGCTTCCTGGTATCTGAAAACATGCTGTAGCCCTTCATATTTCCCGCTAGAGAAGTAGACTATTAGCATACAGCTGCAGCCCTTAGGAGAGCTAAACAGAATGAACTGGAGATTTGGCAGAGTGTTTTTCTGCTCTTTTCTACAACAGGCTATATAAAACGCACAGAAGAGGGAGACACTACAAAGCAGGTTCTCAACTACAGTAATTCAGTGCAGCTCCATTGTAGTCAGTGGAGCTATACTGATTTATACTAGTGAGTTCATTTACATCTGTCTCCCCCTGCCCCTCTCTCTCCCTGGTTTTGGAAAGGT